TAACCAGGACAGCTGATCAAAGTGTAATATCATGGATATTAGAAATCATCACTTAGATACATTAGTTAGATGTACATATATTGGATTGTTAATCATTTTTAGGTGATATAATACTGTAATACAGTAGGTCTATCGTTTGTATATATATATATATATATATATATCATCATTTTAAGCCATACGATATTTTTAAGAAGACTCTTTTACACTGTGCTGCAGCAATTAGGTTAAGTTAGATTAGTTCAGTTTTGGCTTCGTTTTGTTTATGATAGGCCTACTAACAAATAAGAAAACATTTTTTAAAACAAACATTGATCGGTTAAACTATTGTGTATAATTTTAAAGAGATGAATTTACTAAAGATTTTTTGTACAGGAACGATGGATTTACCATGTATCGATAATTGTTGGAAGTCCACCACAAATTTTACCAAAATGATTTTGATTAATTAATGGACGAAAAGTTATAATTGTTGTTAACTGAGATTTGGTGGATTTGCCTATACAAATAACATTGTGTTCACCAGCGACACTGGTATGTGCGGGTGGACTCGCCCATTGTTGCACTCACGTTCACTCATCCCGTTACACGCAGAATATGCGTACTACTAGGTTTAGATCGCAAAAAAGAAAAAAGGAATGTCAGTTACTACAAACCTTTGCTTTTGAAGATCATCGAAATAATCTACGCATTGCACTTTCACGTTTTGGTTTGTCAACATAGTTATGTATACAAGAGGTTAAGTTACCTTGATTCTGTCCAAGTAATCCTTAGGTCGTCATTAGTGCGACCGGTTTCGATGTCTATGGCATCATTGTCAAGCTGAACGTAAAAATCGCTCCTAGGAGGTCGTCATGAGTCTTGAAAAACACGTAACACATAACACGTACACAAACAAAAAACGATAAAATGCATGGCCACACAACTAATTTACAACACGGCGGCGGGTACAGGGTGTAGGTCTAGACTGACGCCATGTCTTCCTCTCCCCACCTTCCCCCTCGAGTTATCAGCTGTTGATAATATTTCGTCGATGTTTAAAGCTGTCTCGTAAATTATATTTGATTCAAATGAGGATTTATCATTTAGGATGTGTTGGGGGTGTTTTTTGCCGGCCTTGTAAATTTCGTATTCCTCAATAGTATCTAAAAATCTTCCTCTACCTTTATGGGATCGTAGAACTTCTAGATTGGTGTTGATATCTGTATATTCGTGGTTGTTATTAATCAAATGTTCAGCAAATGCGGAGTAGGTTGGTTAACAGATGGTTTCGGGAGATGTTCTTTAAAACGTGTTTTAAATAGGCGTGAAGTCTGACCAATATAAAAGCTTGGACAACTGTCACAATTCAGTTTGTATACACCTGAATTTTCTGTTTGATCGTCACGGTTTGTTTTCTTATCTTTTAATACTGATGAAAGTTTATTCGAAGTTTTAAATGAAACAATAACTTGGTTTTTGGACATTTCTCTGCTTAATGTATGGTTGAGATAGCTGCCAAATTCGGTAGAAACGTATTTCGGTCTGTCTAAGGTTGTTTTTATGCGGCTATTTTTGTTCTTATGTTTCAAGATTAGTTTGTCGATGATATTGCTCCTGTAACCGTTAGCTATTGCAATATATTTAATGGTATTGACCTCTTCGTTGTAGTTTTCTTCAGACATCGGGATTGATAGTAATCTATTAACAAAACTGTGATAAGCTGCCAATTTCTGGTTTTGCGGATGATGTGAACTATTATGGATGGTCTGGTGTGTGGTTGTAGGTTTTCTATAGATTTTAAAAACAAGTTTGTTTTTGTCAGAACATCTTGAGATACTAAGGTCTAGAAAATTCAGTGTTTTATTGCTTTCGGTTTCGAGAGTAAACTTTATGTTTTTATGTAAGCTGTTCAAGTAAGTTAGTAGCATTCCCAACTGTCTCTTTTTTTTCTCTCAGACGGTTTTTATCAGACCATAAATGTTTATTCTCAAGGTCGTTTAAATATATCTCTGCTAATATGGATGATAACGGAGAACCCATCGCTAACCCTTCTTTTTGCAAAAATATTTTGTCTTCAAACTGGAAATAATTCTGTTTCATAATAGTTTCGGTGAGTCTTATGAGATCGTTTACTGCTTCTTTGCATAAAGATGAGTTTGTTAATAAGTTCTTTTCGAGTATTGAAAGGGTTTCATTTACTGGTACATTTGTGTACAGATTAACTACATCGAATGATGCTAAAATGTAGCTATCTTTTAGTGTAACATGATTTATCATATCTACAAGATCAGTACTATTTTTTAGACTAAAACTTTTGTCAAATTTGACCTCGCGTCGTATTATGGAGTCCAATTTCTTTGCAACTTTGTATCCTGGGGATGGAATGAAATTTAGATGTGGCCTTATGGGTATGTCCGGCTTATGAATTTTGGGTAACCCTCTAAAAATAGGAGCCTGTGGGTTGGTTACTTTTAGACTTTTCATCTCAGTACGAACATTGAATTTAATGACGACGAAATTGCTCTACTAAATAAAGGACTTAATTTTAATTTTTCTAATGGCAGAAAAAAGTCCCTGGTTTCTGAAATTTTACATTCTGAATCCGCTATAAAAATATTAAAAGACGAAAATTCCAGAACATTAGTTTGAGCCACAATTGTTAAAAAAGCCAGGAATGTAGCAGGTAGTCAATTTGACAGGGCTGAACATGTCAAACATAGGTCACTGAGGAAAGTAGCTACACGCATTAGAGATAAAGTCGCGGAGAACCATGCCGTGATTTGCAAAGCTGATAAAGGAAACTCGATAGTTATTCTTCCCAAACGTGACTACTTAAACAAAGTCTACGCATTTTTTGAGGCTAATGACATAAACCAAATGAGCAAAGACCCGACAGTCAAATATTCTGAAGAAATTAATAAACAAATTAATTCTAGCACAAAGCTACTAACAAAAACTGAGATGAAAAGTCTAAAAGTAACCAACCCACAGGCTCCTATTTTTAGAGGGTTACCCAAAATTCATAAGCCGGACATACCCATAAGGCCACTTCTAAATTTCATTCCATCCCCAGGATACAAAGTTGCAAAGAAATTGGACTCCATAATACGACGCGAGGTCAAATTTGACAAAAGTTTTAGTCTAAAAAATAGTACTGATCTTGTAGATATGATAAATCATGTTACACTAAAAGATAGCTACATTTTAGCATCATTCGATGTAGTTAATCTGTACACAAATGTACCAGTAAATGAAACCCTTTCAATACTCGAAAAGAACTTATTAACAAACTCATCTTTATGCAAAGAAGCAGTAAACGATCTCATAAGACTCACCGAAACTATTATGAAACAGAATTATTTCCAGTTTGAAGACAAAATATTTTTGCAAAAAGAAGGGTTAGCGATGGGTTCTCCGTTATCATCCATATTAGCAGAGATATATTTAAACGACCTTGAGAATAAACATTTATGGTCTGATAAAAACCGTCTGAGAGAAAAAATGGTATTTTATTATCGTTATGTAGACGACACTATTGTCCTGTTTAATGGCACAAAGAGGCAGTTGGGAATGCTACTTACTAACTTACTTGAACAGCTTACATAAAAACATAAAGTTTACTCTCGAAACCGAAAGCAATAAAACACTGAATTTTCTAGACCTTAGTATCTCAAGATGTTCTGACAAAAACAAACTTGTTTTTAAAATCTATAGAAAACCTACAACCACACACCAGACCATCCATAATAGTTCACATCATCCGCAAAACCAGAAATTGGCAGCTTATCACAGTTTTGTTAATAGATTACTATCAATCCCGATGTCTGAAGAAAACTACAACGAAGAGGTCAATACCATTAAATATATTGCAATAGCTAACGGTTACAGGAGCAATATCATCGACAAACTAATCTTGAAACATAAGAACAAAAATAGCCGCATAAAAACAACCTTAGACAGACCGAAATACGTTTCTACCGAATTTGGCAGCTATCTCAACCATACATTAAGCAGAGAAATGTCCAAAAACCAAGTTATTGTTTCATTTAAAACTTCGAATAAACTTTCATCAGTATTAAAAGATAAGAAAACAAACCGTGACGATCAAACAGAAAATTCAGGTGTATACAAACTGAATTGTGACAGTTGTCCAAGCTTTTATATTGGTCAGACTTCACGCCCATTTAAAACACGTTTTAAAGAACATCTCCCGAAACCATCTGTTAACCAACCTACTCCGCATTTGCTGAACATTTGATTAATAACAACCACGAATATACAGATATCAACACCAATCTAGAAGTTCTACGATCCCATAAAGGTAGAGGAAGATTTTTAGATACTATTGAGGAATATGAAATTTACAAGGCCAGCAAAAAACACCCCCAACACATCCTAAATGATAAATCCTCATTTGAATCAAATATAATTTACGAGACAGCTTTAAACATCGACGAAATATTATCAACAGCTGATAACTCGAGGGGGAAGGTGGGGAGAGGAAGACATGGCGTCAGTCTAGACCTACACCCTGTACCCGCCGCCGTGTTGTAAATTAGTTGTGTGGCCATGCATTTTATCGTTTTTTGTTTGTGTACGTGTTATGTGTTACGTGTTTTTCAAGACTCATGACGACCTCCTAGGAGCGATTTTTACGTTCAGCTTGACAATGATGCCATAGACATCGAAACCGGTCGCACTAATGACGACTTAAGGATTACTTGGACAGAATCAAGGTAACTTAACCTCTTGTATACATTCATGAAGTAATCCGGAAGGCAATACACAAGATCAACATAGTTAGTATGACGTATGTTCTACAATAGTTTGTAATTTTGAAAAATCTCTGAAGTCTTAGTGATGTCATCACAGCTCCACTAGATGATTTTTTTCTTCTCTGCAGGGTGACTGTCTGACGTTTCCTGACTTACTTGAGGTGGAGTAGTTCGGTAGCAGTGTTGATTACTACACTTGTATTCTATTGCATGGTACACATACAAAATATTCAAACCTTTCAGATAAAACGTCTAGAATCGTCACTGGATGAGGAGCGACTCCAATCTCAGAGGCTTTTACAAGAGAGTAGAGAAGTGGAAGCTGTAAAACCCAACTCCAACGTGATGGCAATGCCAGACCAGGAGCTGCTCAATAGATTAGAAATGCACATTGAACAATTGGAGGTTGGTATAGGTATAAGACTTTGGTATGATTTGTTGTAAACTAATAAATAGATCAAGGAAACTGATGTTGAATACTTGTTTTATTTAATTTTATGCAACTAAATAAATATTTTGATTCATATTGATTGTTTGTGACATATTTTGGTATGTAGGTACATTTCATAAACAACTAATTGACTATGACTTCTGCAATATTTTTTACAGGAAAGGGATTATCATGTTATTTAGGCCTATTTAAGTTTAATCATAATAAGGGTACCTTACATGTGACATATCAAAACTTTGATTTGTTTGAAACACAATTACAAACTCCATAAAAAAACTGGAAAAAATTATCCCAAAGGAAATAATAACTATGTGTATATCAAAACGAAGAACAACTCCTCTTCTATCCAGTGACACCACTCGCTACTCTCCACTACTAAGTGCAGAATTGTACCGTTATTTATGGTATTTGTGCAGATACTTGCAACGAGAATCAGATTGCAGGCTAAATCTATTAAAAATAAAATCGTAGTAATAGGTTTCATTATGCATGCTATAAAGTTGGTTCATGCCTGAAATTGGAAGTTAAAAATAATATTTTAAAATGTATACACGGGGTATTCCATAAGTAAAAAGGTCAAGCTCTGGGAAAAGAAAGAAAAAATCTAGAACATAATTTTTTTTTCGATAACGCTTCTCTTACCAGGTATTCGCCATTTTGTATTTAAAACATAAACTTTTTTAAATAACTTCTAGATCAGCATCGTACGTTTTATTAAATTACCTGAAAAAACAAATAGCCCAGTCAATAAAGACACAAAAACAACCAATGTCGGAACAAATTAGTGACAAGCAAAACTATATACTACTGGATAGTACACATAAAGATGTACATTTTACCAAAAGTCCCCTAAAATCCCCCCGGTGCTTTCCCCCCCACCCCCCCCTCAAAGTCAGGAATTGCAAGGTTTTACCATAGACAAAAAGAATTAAATATAGACTGTCAGCCGTGCTGCGGTTGTCATGGTTACCATAGGTTCCGGCGCACACCGCTGTAGTTTACGTAGCGCGTACGCCGTAACTACCGTGGTGCTCCAAGCGGTGTGCGCCAGAACCTATGGTAACTGCAGCACAGCTAGCGGTCTATATTTAATTCTTTTTGTCTATGGTTTTACTAAAACACTCATATATCCTATATGGCTTATCCGATTACAATAATCTTAAATTCGTTGTATTCCTTAATAAATTGTCTAGAATAAAGTTCCTTTACACTTTTGCGATAAATCCAATAGTTTCTTCAAAACTAAATGATAAATAATGAAATTGAGCAAATGTTTAAGCTGATATTTTAGTTTTTCTGCCGTAGTTTTTTTGTTCGAAGGAAAATCGAAAAACACTTCCTCTAAAGGTTGTAGAGCATGTCTTTCTGAACACTTTCATATATATAAGTATAGGATTCCGATATATCCATGGGCAGGGGAACGGCCCAACTAGACGGGAGTCCGAGCCTCGGCGACGCTGCCGCCACCGCGCTGTGCCGCCAGATAGCCGCGATTGAAGTGATCGACCCACAGTAAGGTACGGATGACGTGTTTATGCAGTACAAACTATATAACTCGACTTTGGAAGTAACCTTTCCTGGAGGTGAAAACGGGCAAGTACCCGCAGCTCACGGGGACACTCAAGGGCAACGTAACTTTCCGCAGTGTGAGGGCAACGGTTTGTAGGTACTTATGCAAACCAATCCCTGTCTCTGAGCACGGACGGTATGGTTATCTTGAGTGTGGGGGGTTCTTCCCGGAACCTCAATTGAGTCAAGGGTGTCGCCACCTCTGGTGGATAGGTTCATCCGGGTGGGTCCCACTTCTATACCTGCCTCCTTTTGGGAAACCCTGATGGCCTGGCAGTGATGTTGGGTCTGACGGGCAAACGAAGTAGATCGGGTGCTGGGTCCGAGCCCGCCAGTGGTATCTGGGGATCTATCGCTCTGGTTATCTCTGGTTTCCCAGCAATGGGTAAGGCCTCGATCGGGCAGCGGTGTAAATGGGAGGTTGGGGTTCCCCCCGTCAGCGTGCTGATGGTCCCCTTCCTCCTGGCTATTGATGGCGGGTTCTGCCTGTCAGGGATTAGATAGGTCCCGAGTGTTGCTTGCACTAAATGCGTCGGGGCGCTCTACCATGGACCTCTAGGTCTCGACCTAGTGGAACCCAGGTGGAGTGACGCTTAAACAAGCAGCCGGAATCCCTGGTTAGGATTGAGGGGCAACCCTCTCTCCGAAGGGTCTGCTTCGGCAGCCGGCGAGCCTGATGACCTTAAGTCATCCGCCCATGATGTGCTAAAGGTTGATGCGTAAGCTTCGGCCTACATCATGGGGCCCGGGTATGTCCTAAAGGATAGGTACCGGGTATGCAGTCAGGGGGCTTCGGCTCTCATGACAAAACGAAATGGAAAAAGTACAAACTATATATTAACGAGTTTTTAACTAATATTAATAAATAGATTGTTAGAGATTACATTAGCTGTCGTGTTAAACATATTATTTCTTGATATTTGTTAACATAACTTCCAGTAAGTTACCCATTGCATTAGTTTTAATTGGTTACAAATGTCAGTGGGCGTATGGCATATCTCTTTGTAAATCAATAAAAATAAATATTTGAGCTAATTAATAAAAAATATTGTTCAAACAATCATACCTTGCCAGGTTCCAGGCACAAGGCCCAGTGGCTCAGTGAGCTATTGGCTGTTCTCCCATTTATGGACTTGTCATTTAGGTTCGGTGGTTACAAAGAAAGGGTTCTTAACTGTACTGTGAGGTGACAAAAAAGCTCTTGGTCTGATACATGGACGGATATGTGCAATGTACATAGAACGAAGATTGGTAGTCCAATGATGTCCTTTGGAGGATTTACACATGGGCGAGGCATAACAGATATGTAGCACATTCCAAAAGCGGGTACATGGAATCCCATACTGTTTCAAAGTCCACGTAGCTTCACAGGAGTTCCGTGAGACCTTGTTGGCTTTTTCTGAACAGCATGTGGGGACAAAAGAGCCAAGAAGAAGAGAAGCTAAAATAAGACCTACAGTAAGTGGACTTGAAGCTCACAATCTACCAGGAGAGCTAATATCGTAAGAATCTAGATATTTCTCTGAACTGTCAACTGATATCAAGCATACGACTTAGGTATAACAGCTTTGGAGAAAATACATGAAAACAACTTTGGTGAACATCACCTACAAAGGAGAGACAAGTTAAAAACACAGGCAAAACAGACAAGGTAAAAATTAGGTCTCGAGAAGTCACATTTAATTCAAATAGCCTAGAAGTAACAGCTACTTTCAATATAAGTTAATACTTTACGTATGTAACTGGCCATTATACTTAATGACTATTAGAGCTTCTTTTGATAATGTTTTCATAAAAAAAGGAACAAAGTCTTTGATTGCAGAATTGATGACCATACATATACAATTGAATGGTCCCACGTTGTTGATTCTCGATCCATTTACATCCATTTATCAGTACCATCCATTGATCCATTTATCATTTTCGATCCATTTATCAGTACAGTTCACCTTTGTACTGTACCGGCTCACCCCTTGCTTTGCTGGATACGTTCCACGCACAGATCTGTAGTCTATGTGGACGGGCAAATGCAAGGTTAAAAGAGGCCGCCAACCTCTTTAAAAAAAAAAAAAATTTAATGGCACGGCAATTCTACCTATGAAGACATTATAAATAATTAATGTAACCATGTTATATTGAAATACGGAGGAAATGGGATATTTGTGTTTGATGGATATCCAGATCATCTAAACGATTTAAGCATGAAGAGCAACTGAGAAGGGCTTCAAGTAATATATCGAGATCGAGATGTCCAATTTAAAAATAAATCTTTCAGGGGAACAAAAATAATGCGAAATGATTCGATGCTGGCAGTGCCAATGAAGATAAAAAAACGCAGCATCACGGCACACACTGCTGAAGAATACGCTGATCATGATATTGTTGATGTGTCGTTTCGAAAATTTATTGTAAACAAGTCTGTTGTTGGTACGTTCACAGACCAGTTTTAGTAGCACTTGCTCCCCCCGTTAGTAAATTGCATTTTTGTAACGTACAGAGTTGCCATAATACAGCAAGTTTAGAAGAAGACCAAGACGAAGATGAGCAATAGTTATGTAATACATTATCATAAAAAGCCTACATAACAACAAAAAAAGACAATATACTAGGGAAAAGATTGCCACAACAGAACAATAAAACAAAAAATATTTTTTAACTAAAAGGTTAATTGACGTAAGTAAAATCATTCCACGACACACTGATTCAGGAGTAAAACACTGGAGTCAATATTTTCATTTAAATTATTAAATGTAAATACTAAATAAGTTTATTACGTTACGTGTATTATTTAAGGGTGCGTACGAGGTTCGTGATATTCATCGCTATTGGTTTCCGCCAGACCGGGAATACTAATTATTACTCAATTAGACTTTTAAATTTTATAATAAATCACAAATAGCCTAAACAAATTACCTATACATTTATTCGTGCTAGAGGTCGTCCAGTGGTCGAAGACTCGACGATAAATGTATATGTAATGTACATATTTCTCTATTTTCTCTATTCTCACCCAACGCTGTAAATAAAATATATAATTGGAATTTCCTCCATTTGTTTTGTTTTTCTGTTTATATTTTGTTGTTATTTCGTCACCAGCATGGCAACCCATAAGGCCCATTTTAATTGTTTTTAAATTTAAAATTCATTTTTGTGCTTATTCTAATTTATAAAGGGATTCTGCACATCTCCAGAAAATATATTCCTAACAGCATGCGTAGATTTTCCCAGCGATGCACACAACCTGAGAAAAAATGTTTTCAAGAAACATGCTTGCCTATTAATATACAGGATGTCCCGGAGCTCTCTACCAATATTTTAGGGCACTTTTCCTATGTAAGAAACATATCTTAATATCATATTTAAATTGACCGTAAGTCCTTAGTTA